GAGAGAGAGAGAGAGAGAGAGAGAGAGAGAGAGATCCGATCAGATTGGGCGGTTAAAGCAGAGTGCGTACCGCGCACCTATTAGAGGCAAGCCGCGGTCCACGGCACACACGGGGCACACGCGGCAGCGACGTGGGGGAAAAAAATCCCTCCAGTAAACCTTGACGGAACCAGAGCTCAATACGCGAGCAGTGTGTGCGCGCGTGTGTGCACGCCTGTTAGCTTCTGAAATTCGCGCTGAAATATATGCGTGCAGTGTGTGCGCGCGTGTGTGCACGCCTGTTAGCTTCTGAAATTCGCGCTGAAATATATGCGTGCAGTGTGTGCGCGCGTTTTACCTTCTTGAATTCGCACTGAAATGCCGTGCAGTGTGCGCGTGTGAGCGCGCGTGTAACCTTCTGGAATACGCGCTGAAATATATGCGTGCAGTGTGTGCGCGTGTGTACGCGCGTGTTACTGTCTGTAATATACGAGCTGAAATACCGTGCAGTGTGTGTGCGTCTTAGCTTCTGGAATACCCACTTAAATACCGTGCAGTGTGCGCGTGCATTTGTGTTTGCTGCTTGGATACGCACTTTACCCACGTGCAGTGTGCGCGCGCACGCGTGTACGCGCTCGCGTGTGTGTTTACTTCCTGGATACGCGCGCAATCAGCGTGTAGCGCACTCGCGTGTCCGTGTGCCTTTTGGAAACGCGCTGAATCCGCGTGCAGTGTGTGTGCGCGCGCGTGTGTGTGCGCGTCTGTGTGCATTTCTCGCGCCGACTATCGCACTCTGCGTGCGTGCGTGCGTACGTGCGTCGCACCACAGGCGGTGAATTGTTACTGGATATATACGTCGGCGCAGGCAGCCGATCACGTGACCCGCGCGTCGACTTCCGACGAGCACCCGTCCAGGTGTCGCTACCTCACGAACTTTGACCCGATCGCTTGACCTCTACGTGACCGCTAAGTGACCTCCGCGTGACCGCCCCGTGACCTGCTATGCGATCTGTCAGCGGCATGACGAAGTGGACGACGACGAAGACGGTGGCGCTGCCGGCGCTGCCTCTGTCGCCGACGTCGCCACAGGGAGAGAAGGCGGAGGCCGCCGCCTCGCAGCATCGGGTGCTACTCGTCACCGTGATGGGCGAGAGACGGGGCAGCGGCGGCGGAGTGGGAAGCAAGTGCTGGTACCTGCTCACCATGCTGCTGGCACTCGCCTGCCTCGTGCTAGCCTGCCTCGTCCTCTACAAGTGTACGTATCTGACGTCTGACGGAGACGGCGGCAGCACAGGGTAGAATGAATGGACACAGGGTAGAACGAGTGGACACAGGGTAGAATGAATGGACACAGGGTAGAGCGAATGGACACAGGGTAGAACGAATGGACACAGGGTAGAATGAATGGGCACAGGGTAGAATGAATGGGCACAGGGTAGAACGAATGGACACAGGGTAGAATGAATGGACACAGGGTAGAACGAATGGGCACAGGGTAGAACGAATGGACACAGGGTAGAGCGAATGGGCACAGGGTAGAACGAATGGACACAGGGTAGAACGAATGGACACAGGGTAGAACGAATGGACACAGGGTAGAATGAATGGACACAGGGTAGAACGAATGGACACAGGGTAGAGCGAATGGGTACAGGGTAGAACGAATGGACACAGGGTAGAGCGAATGGATACAGGGTAGAACGAACGGACACAGGGTAGAACGAATGGACACAGGGTAGAGTGAATGCGCACAGGGTAGAGCGAATGGACACAGGGTAGAATGAATGGACACAGGGT